ACCCTCGCCAGGCAGGCTACTCTACCAAAATTTACAAATGGATTGAAGTCATCCTATACACTACAAATGCATTTATCACTTGTTTCACAGTAAGAGGAAAACATCGAGGACCAGCACCAGAAAAATAAATTCAAGCTGCAATTGACCACAGGCACAAATTTCATCCCCATCCAGTTTCTTCTTTCAGCCTTGGGGAGGCAGAGAGCCCACCCCACAAGAACTCGACCAACACAACCACAACCATGGCTGCCCATTGTGATTTATCTCCTAGCTCCTTTCAGTGTTTTTTTGGCATCACTTAGAGATAACACACTGCTTGAAAATTTCATCTATGTCCAAGAACTGAGAGGATAAATGTAAAATACAAACCCCTACACAAAGGTCTCATTAAACTTGACAACATACTTACAAACAAGACAGAAGAACTATTGAACTAAACTAAAGGTTGGACTTTTATGAATAAAGCCCAGCCTTGGTTGAAAAGTTTTAAAGAAATTCCCTTCTAGTAGTGTCTTTATGGCACCTTTAAAGCTCTGTCTACACTGCTCTCTTTATTTACTCATGTATGCTTAATTACCTAAAACCACACATACATCTCTAATCAGATCAACTTCTTGGAACAACCTGTCAAAAAGGGAAATTTATAGTTTTTTAAAACTTTACAAATTACCACCAAGGTGGAGTAATTTGGTATAAAATTGCTGTATGTGCTAAACTTTCAAGTCATCAATAACAAAAGTGCATCCATGCAAGCTTACCCTTAACTGAGGTTTTGGATGATAAACATAACGAAACAGGCATGGGAGAACTTGAGCCCCTCTCTGGACATTAGTATTTGGAGGACTATCAGCCCAGTCTCTCTTGGCTTTGCACAACTTGACAGCATCATCAACACATGCCATGTGAAGCTGGGGGTCCAAATTCCAATCTCGAGATACAAAATACTGTATTTCTAACAGGGCAGCTTCACATGCTGAGGGCATTTCTGGAGAATCTATGTGGCGCATAAGGCATCTCATGACTCTGTGGATATTTAATTATTTAATTAAAGTAATTAAGGGATTTAATGATTCACTATATAGTAATTAATTACTACTCACTATACAGTGGACCCCCGGTTAACGATATTTTTCACTCCAGAAGTATGTTCAGGTGCCAGTACTGACCGAATTTGTTCCCATAAGAAATATTGTGAAGTAGATTAGTCCATTTCAGACCCCCAAACATACACGTACAAACGCACTTACATAAATACACTTACATAATTGGTCACATTCGGAGGTAATCGTTATGCGGGGGTCCACTGTATATGTAAATGGAAGGATATGAAGTTCATTCAAATTAAATTTAAAAAATACATTTCAAGTGCAATTAGTGGACCCTCTGGTTACACCATTAATCCATTCCAGAGAGCTAGCCTTTAACCGATTTAGCCTTTAGCTGAATTAATTTTCCCCCCAAGAAATAATGGAAATCCAATTAATCCATTACAGACACCCAAAAGTATTAAAACCCAAAATAATTTTTTTTACATGAAATATACATTTCCCTACACAAAACAATGATACATGAACAATAAACAATACTGAAATGACAATTACCTTCATTGTGGACTTGTTGATGAGTGATGAGACGGGAGGAGAAGAAAGGATGAAGGTGTTCTATTGTTTGGAAGGGGAATCCCCTTCCATAAAGACTTCAGGTACCAAGTCCTTTTCTGGGGTTACCTCCCTTCTTTGTTTTTTAATGCCACTATGACCAGCTTGAGAGTCACTGGACCCCTGTCGCACAAAATATCTGTCCCAGAGCTCTGTTTCTCGCATCCCTTTAAGATTCCTTAAAATGAGACACAAGAGTGTCATTGTACAAGTTGCCAATACGGCTTGCAACAGCTGTTTCAGGATAATATTCATCCATAAATGCTTGCAACTTTGTCAACATTGTACACATTTCCTTAATCTTTGATGATGGCAACTTCCTCTGTCTCTCTTCCTCCTCCTCTGAAGCAAATTCCTGAGCTGTGATCTGTTGCTGTTGCACCTGAAGCTCTTGCAGCTCTGTAGTGGTTAGCTCTTCATCGTCATCCTCCACCAACACTTCCACATCCTCGCCACTAACCTCCAACCCCATGGACTTCCCCAATGCCACAATAGATTCCACAACTGGCATAGTCTCCTGAGGGTTAGCCCCCAAAACCCCTTTAAAATCTCTCTCTTCTACACATTGTGGCCACAATTTTCTCCAAGCAGAGTTCAAAGTCCTGCAAGTCACTCCCTCCCAAGCCTTACCTATAAGGTTTATGCAACTGAGGATACTGAAGTGATCTTTCCAGAACTCTCTTAGGGTCAATTCAGTGTCTGAGGTCACTTCAAAGCACTTTTGAAACACTGCTTTGGTGTACAGTTTTTTTGAAGTTTTGAAATGACCTGCTGTTCCATTGGCTGGAGGAGAGGAGTGGTATTAGGAGGCAAAAACCTCACTTTGATAAAGCTTAACTCCCCTGCAATTTGCTCTTGCAAGTCGTGAGGATGAGCAGGAGCACTGTCCATTACCAGGAGGCACTCGAGTGACAATTAATTTCCAGGAGGTACTTTTTCACAGTGGGGCCAAACACGTCATAGAACCAGTCAAAGAAAATGTCTCTAGTGACCCATGCCTTACTGTTTGCTCTCCACATTGCACACAATTTAGCCCTTGACGACATGTTTTTCTTAACACTCTGGGGTTTCAGAGTGATACACGAGTAAAGGCTTCACTTTGCAATCCCCACTAGCATTACTAGAGTTAGCCTGTTTTTCACAGGCATGTGTCCTGGAGTGCCTTTTCCTCCTGAGTAATGTAGGTCCTGTTCAGCATTTTCTTCCAAAACGGGCCTGTTTTTGTCACAACTGAACACTTGTTGGGGTTTTAATTATTCAGTAACTATGTACTCCTTAAAGTCCTGCGCATATTTTTCTGCCACTTTTTTGTCAGAACGGGCAGCTTCACCATGCCTTATCACACTGTGTATGCCACTACGATTTTTAAATATCTCAAACTAGCCTTTGCGGGCCTTAAATTCGTCAATATGAGCACTATTTGGAGGCATTTTCTTAATGAGATCATCATGCAACTGCCTTGCCTTTTCACATATTACTGACTGAGAAACACTATCTCCTGATAATTGTTTCTCATTTATCGACACCAACAACAGTCTCTCCACATCTTCGAGTATTTGCAATCTGTTTTGTAAGCATACTTGCACCTTTTGCAACAACAGCTTCCTTGATTGCCTTTTTGTTAGCCAGATAGTAGTGATGGTTGAATGGGGTTTGTTATATAACCTTTCCAACTCCAAGATACGCACTCCACCCCTCAGACTTTGCGATATCTCTCTCTTTAATTCAATAGTATTTCTCACCCTTTTTACCACAGGGTTGGCACTAGAAGCTTTCTTGGGGCCCATGTGGCTTATTTAGCAGTTACAAGCACTAAAAACAATGGAATAATACAAAATATATTGCATGTATGTGTGGGAAACGTCCCTCACTGGCTTTGTAAACAATGGCACATTGGCTGTCCACAGAGCCATGGAGTGGCTGGGCCCGCTCAGGCCGTGTGGATACGTTTGGGACAACAGCCATTAACCGAGTTATTTGGCATTTGCCGAGCCATTATTTTTTATGCCAGAGCGAGCCATTATCCGATTTTGGCTCTAACCGATGAGGCCTTTACCCAAGGGTCCACTGTATACATTGTTGAATGAAACAGACATTTCCTCCCTTCTCTCATTTATAAACTACAAAATGCACACATGAATTATTACACACCTTGCATTTCCTCCTCTAACATCCTTGCAAGAAGATTCTACAACAGGAAGGCAAGCCTCGTGCAGCACAGGATCAACCCGCCAATCCTCACCAGCATCAGATTCCTTAACCACTGTTTCCAACTGAAAAATCCAAATAAAATATTTTATCAGTGTTTTTACATTCAGAACTTCAGAGTTGCTAAAAAAGCTTGATGAATGTACAGCATCACAAAGTTTAACCTGTAAACGGTCCAAACGTACATACACCTACCATCCGACTTACGACTGGGTTCGTAAGTCGAAATGGTCCTAAGTCGAACTTTACTACTGAATATCAACAAAATATTTTTGTAATGACTATTTTATTGTTTTATTTTGATATTTCATGTTTTTACTTTACTTTTTATGTTGTATAGTACTGTATTTTATACTCTAAGGTTTAGGATAAACACTGTGTACAACACAAATAGTTGTTTATTTCCCAGAAATTTGGCATAAAAAACACGGTCCTAAGTCGAGTGGTCGTAAGTCGAGCTGGTCGTAAGTCGGATGGTAGGTGTATATGTTTTACCGCTAGTGCCCCAAACGTATATACAGTGGACCCACGGTTTACGATATTTCACTCCAGAAGTATGTTCAGGTGCCAGTACTGACCGAATTTGTTCCCATAAGGAATATTGTGAATTAGATTAGTCCATTTCAGACCCCCAAACATACACATACAAATGCACTTACATAAATACACTTACATAATTGGTCGCATTGGGAGCTGATCGTAAACCGGGGGGTCCACTGTATATATTTTATTTTTCCTGCCTTCAAATTTGGCACCAATTGGCCTGAGATGCCTTGTCAGCATAGAATGGGTCTTAATACTCAGTGTGCGCGGTATTAAAAAAATCTGGGACCACTTAGTACCTTGTGGAGCACCAGTTCAATGAGCGCCAGCTAGAGCAAACAGCACAGCAAACACTGGGATTCACTGATGTCATGTAGTCTTAACACTCCCATTTTAAGAGGAAAGTGGTTTTGACCCTGAATTTAGTGGCTTTGAGTAGATGTGGCCACAAGTGGTCGAGGAAATATAAAAAAAACCTCGATAATAACCCCATGTGCAATATTTGTGAAAACACCCTTTCGGGAATTTGCCCTTAAAACCAAGCACTAAGTAAAGAGAAACAATTCTGGCGGGGCTGGTTTAGTGGAGGGCTAGCTGGCGGGCCTCTGTGTGGCGGGCCCGGCTGCGGGCACCGGGGCTCTATCTCTTTTTTGTCTGCCCTGCATCTATGTTTTACCCCTCTGTCTCTATCTCGTATTTTTTTGTCTCTGTCTATCTGTCTTTTTTAAATCCTTGTCAAACCCCTTTATCTTTTCTCTGTCTCACAGGTACCCCTTTAAATAAAATTTTAAAAATAGTGTAAAATACCTAGGATAACCAAAAAATCCTGAAAAAAGGGGCTATTCTCTGTTTTGAAGATGTGCGAAAGTGATAAAGACGCAGTTTTTGTGGCTTTTTGAGACAGAGACCCCAGATGGAATTAAAGGGAGCTTGACAGAAAGACAAAAAAGACAGACATGTTTGTTACCAGCGAAAAAAAGCCAGGCCCCAATCTTTTTCTTATCAATCTCTTTACTGCCCCCCCTTGTGGAAAAGGGTCATCAAAAGTCAGCTCTTATCAAATGTTATCTCCTCTTATCACTTCCCCTGTCAGGGGTGGACTTTTTTTTTCTTGCTTCAATCGCTTTTTCTTTTTCTTCGTCGTCGTTGTCTTCTTCGTCGTCGTCTTCGTCGTCTTCTTCTTCCCTCTTTTTCTTTTTCTTCGTCGTTTTCTTCTTTGTCTTCGTCTTATCTTTGTTTTTCGTTTCCTATCACACGTTTAAAACCCCTATGCACAAAAGGGGGCCCCAAAAATGGGGAAATTTATTACCAGAAATTTGAAATAACCCAGCTGAAAATCAATTTAAACCCTTTTTAGGGGCCGTCCCCTAGATCTTTCGGCTTTTTTCCCCAGGGTCCAAACCGTAGATCTACGCCATGAGCCAGCTCACTCTGATAAACTGAGTGGGACATTTGGGGCCCAGATATGAGAAAAATACACTATGTGGTATGTGTGCACCACATAAAACAGATCCTGCAGCACCCCTGTGTTATAATGAGAGAAAAAAAAAAAAAATCATGATTTTTCGATTAAAAAAAGCAACTTTTGGGAGTGTTTTCCGTATGTTTTTATAGTTTATTTCGATTTTTTGGTCTCATTTGATAGAATGGAAGACATATTACAGAAATAGAGATGATTTTGATTGGTTTTTAGCATTGGAAATGGCTTGAAACTGAGCTCAAAGTAGTGGAAATTTTTAAATTTTTGCCGATATTCAAGAGTAAACAAACGACCTCAAACGTCTAATACACATCAGGCTGGTGGTCTAATATACATTCACAAATATGGTGATGAATTTATACAATTATTACAGTATTGCATAACAGTAAATCTTCTATTTTTGGTTTTGAAAAAAAAATTCATTATGTGAATAAAAAATCAAAATGGAATTTATTTGTAAAGCCTCAAAACAAACTAATGAACAGAGGAAATGTTAGTTTAGTGCCAGGAATGCCTACATTGTTCATTCTGGACCCTATTTTGAATTGGTATAATTTTGAACTTTGTGTAAATTGGCCAAATTAACAATTTCCGATCACTTTATTTTTGTAGTTGAAACAGTTGACTTGGCGATTTCTTGTGCTCAATCGATAGAATAGAAGTAATACTAGTGAAATAGCTAAGAATTTGGTTGAAATTTGGGAAAAATGTAATTGGCCTAAAATGGGAGTCAAAGTCGGCGAAATCGCCGATTCGTAAATATCGCTGACACATCAAAATTCGCGAGAGCATAATTTCGTCAATTTTCCACCAAATTTCGTACTTTTTGTTTTATTACCTTCACAAAAAGATTCTCTACGATTTCATAAGAAAAAATAACAAATTTTTTTTTTGAAAATTCTTGGACACTGGTGCGTGGCTCCAGATTTGGGCCTTGGACCCTGAAAGGGTTAAGACTCTTCTCAAAAGCCACTTAATCACCCTAGACTAAATGCTAAATACTCAGTACACATATGTACTCCCACATCATAACTTCAACAAACACTTTGAACCTTTTATCCATTGTTAACAGGAATATAATTGAATCACTGTTTTCACAAAAAAGCATTTTCGAATATATGAATATATCTTTTGTCTTGTACAAATTTTGATTCATTTATAATTAATAATCTACTGTACAACTATGAAATAATTACTATCCTACTGTACAACTATGATATAATCCTTAGTGTTAAGTAGTCTGTAATCCAATAATGTTAAGTTGGCCCATAAAGCCTAGGCATAACAGAGGCTCTCTTTGCATTGCAACCCACTATTGTATATACAAAATCTCAATGTACTGTTTGCAAAGACATAAAATAAATAAATAAATAAATAAATGGTGTTTTGCCTTACGGGGTTCCACTAATACTGCAATTTCAAATTACAGTGGTCCCTCATTTATCGTTGTTAATCCGTTCCTGGAAGTGCAATGATTATCGAAATAGACGACTTTCGAATAAATTCTCCCCATAAGAAACAATGTAAATACAATTAATCCGCTCCAGACACCCAGAAGTATTAAAAAAAAATTCTTTTTACATGAAATATAGATGTAGTACATAAACAATACAATGGGACATGATGACTGAAACATTAACAGCATAACACTTACCTTTATTGGCGATTCTTCTTAGTGTATGGGAGACTGGAGGAGGAGGAGAGAAATAGCATTAGTTACTGTTTGGAAGGGAAATCCCCTTCCGTCAACACTTCAGGTACCAAGTCCTTTTCTGGAGTTACATACTTCTCTTCTCTATTTCTTAATGTCACTAGGACCAGCTTGAGAGTCACTGGAGTCCTGTCTCGAAAAAAAAAGTGTCCAGAGAGCTCTGTTTCTGGCATCTCTTTAAAACTTCCCTAAAATGGGCCAAGACTCTGTCACTGTACAAGTTGCCGATATGGCTTGCAACATCCTTCTCAGGGTGATGTTTCTCCATAAATCTTTCCATCCTACCCTACATTTCAAAAATCTCCTTAATTTCTGAAGAAGGCACCTTCTTCATTCTCTTTTCCTCCTCTTCTGCAACAAAATTCTGAGCTGCAATCTGTTGCTGTTCCTGCTGAAGCTCTTGCAGCTCCTCAGTGGTTAGCTCTTCGTTGTGGTCCTCCACCAACTCTTCCACATTCTCCAAACTCACATCCAACCCCATGGAACTCCCCAATGCCACAACAGATTTCACAACTGACATAGACTCATCAGAGTCAGCCACAAACCCTTCAAAATCCCTCTTGTGGACACAATCCAGCCATAATTTTCTCCAAGCAACAACAGCTTCCTTGATTTCCTTTTTCTTTGCCACGATGGAAGATATGGTTGTATGGGGTTTATTATACATCCTGGCCAGTTCGGCCACACGTACACCACTTTCACATTGTTCAATGATGTTTTTCTTAAATTCAATCGTATTTCTCACCTTCTTTACCAAAGGCTTGGCACTAGGAGCTTTCTTTGGAGCCATGGTAGCTTATTTAGCACTTGCAAGCACTAAAATTAATGGAATATTATGAAATATTTCATATGAACAAGTGAGGGGACCATCACTCACTGGTAAACAATGGCACACTGGCTGGGAAGGGAGGCCGAGGCGGCTCAGAGCCTTAAGTACGCGTCCAGGATGAACGACGATTAAAGAGTCGACCGACTCACTAATGTTTGGATGAAAATAACGCGATGATTTCCAAAAAGGACGATTATCGAGGGACCACTGTATGAACAAAATTTGCTATACGGCAAGCAGTCTTTCAAATATGGCGCACCCCACCCAGTTTGCTTACATTCACCATGAGCACATCTGTTATGTCTGGAAAATTTCCAAAATTTCAAGTGTTTTAAAGTTATTGTGTACAGTGGATCCCCCGTTATCAGCCGGTTCAGTTATCGGCCAACTCGGTTATCGGCCAGTTTTTCGGCGCCCGGTTATCGGTCGTTCTGTTATCGGCCATTTGGGAGGTGTTCATCCGCCGGCTGGGGCTGCTTGCAAGTCAGTTTGGCTTTGTCTCTGGGCGAGTGAGGAAGCTTCTGCTCATTCATCCAAACATTTTGCTATAACCCATTGTT